AACACCCAATTTAATAAAATATAGACACTAAATTGATTCCGAAGCTCAGAAAAAAAGCGAACTTTTTGTGTATATTGAAGAGTCCTGGGTCCTGGTTAGCTTTATTGATATACGAGAACCTTTTTGTTTTATACTGAATTTTATTTACGTTCTACGACCGTCTTACTTTGGGTCTGTTTTCTCACACAGTATTTTATTATCATCAACCCAAAAATAGAAGCGTATTGTTTTTAAAATTATGTGTGTATGTTTGTTGGTTTTTATTGCATAATTATAATAATATAATACCTCGGTACAATTCACACAGCGCCATCTTGTCCCAACCTAAGCAGAACTCGTGTTATGGGTACTAAACAGTTGATATTTTTTTTGTGAATACATATTATACTTCGAAAACACCAAGACAGATACAAACAATCATACTCATGAATACAAAGGTTTGTACTGTGGAAGAAATCGATCCCGTGACTATCAGAGGTAATCGTGCTTAACAGCTAGACCACTATCATATTGTCTCATAAGTATCATTCAAATGTTTCGATTACAATAACGGTAACAAGTTTCATACTAAAGTTTCCATCTAGATTAACATAATTAAAGATCAATATTTAGAAGCCCTATCGTCTTAATCCTCAATAATGATAATGGATTAGATATGTAATTAAAATAACTAATAATATATTCTTACTTCTTACTTCTATTTATAGCTTTAATTATATGTTTTATATAATTACACACAATTTCACTGCCTCCCTGATTTAAAATCTGCATCACGGACGTTAATTTTTTTTTATATATCCGAGCATCTACGTCTGCATCACATTTTTTCATTTTTATTGCAGCTCTGCTCCTATAAGTTACAGCTTTATATTATATATAGCCGATAAATGGACTATCTGTTCTAAGGTTATCACTAATTTTCAAAATCAGTTCAGTCAATTCTGTGATCACCCCCTACAACCTAATCAATTTTACCTCTTTATAATATCATTGTTGTATAAATAATATTTTAATTTCACAATATAACTATTCAAGAATATTGTCACAGCAAAATCTAAATAATTTATTCATATAGGATCCTTTCAGTCACTTATCGCTATTCTTATAACCGTCCAATTCGACTAGCTACTTCAATTGAGAATAACTGACAAGAAATTCAGAAAAATGATTACCATTATACATTTATATATTTTGTTAACCTCGTAGAATAATAAATTATTCTACAGTAATTCTATTTCATGCAAAGTAATATAATAATATTATTTTGTTATTCTAGTATACGCAAAATGAACAAATAACTTATTAAAATTATAATTATTCATAAAGAAATACGAGCATATACAACACTATTTAATTCCAATACTAATCGTACAGTGAAATAAATAAAACGTAGAAAAACATACGTTTGCAAAGCCAAATGAATGCAGCGGCAAAAACCTGGCAGCATTGATTAAAAATGCCTTCCTTTGCAACAAATAATTTAAACAAATAGCAGAGTCTGAATTATATTTCCATTCTACCGTCAAAGATAATCAACTGCATACCCCCGCCAAGTTTTTATCTGCTTCCTCCTCATGAATTTCAATTGGGGGTATAATATTGGCCGGTGAGGTAACTTTTTATTGCAATATCGGAATAGATCAATGGATTATACATTCGAGATGCGATCACGTAACAAAGAAGCAGAAGTGAAGAAATTACTACACAGTATTCACCTGGATTGGTATTAATTAAACCTATTCTTATTATTTTATAAGTTATTAGAGCAGTCATGGTTACTTCACTATTGTATAAAATTGTAATGTTATTTAGTGGACTGTAGAAAGAGTCTTTGGAAACAACCAATTAAATTGACAGAAGATTTGTGTATTCCCATTACGTCACGATAGAAAAGAGAACGCGGAAGTGTTACCGTATAATAAACTCTGAATTGCCTAAATAAAATAGGGTTTCAAACAACTATCTGGTAGAGTAAGAGTTTACGTTGCTTTGTAAAACGTCAGCTGCGTACCCACCTCAGTCTTACCTGTTTGCTAAGCTGACAAGCAGCTTGCTTTGTAAGATGTGATTACGAGGAAGGGTGAAAATAAAGCAATGAAATTAAAGGATAGTGGCAAGGCATCTTAGTGATGTTTATATAGTCTCAGTGATGTCTATAGCGTTCATGTATATAGAGGAAGGTTACAATTTATTATCAGATGAGGCGGGGAAGGGAGGCAGGGCAAACGTGAAAATACCCCCGGGTGAAAATACGATAATTTATTTTAAAAATTGTAAGGATTAAATAAATAAATAGTAATAATTAAAGTAATCAACATGGCTCCGCGTACTAAAGTGGCAGTGTTTACGTCAATAGATATCAATTTCAATTGTTCATAGAATATATTAATATTCTTTCATAGATTTATATTATCTATACATATATAGTGTATATTTAATCTCTGAAAGTAATGAACACTATTTTCGTTATATATAGGTATACCTAGTTAGTTATTTGATGACAGAAATGAAACCATTACCTATCTAGGATAAATATCTATAGATCTATAGCTACATAGATATAATCGTGATATCATTATAAGTGTACATATATAAGATTATCTCCTGACCCAGTTCACAATACATTTTCAACGGATTACTCTGTCTAATTTAATCTTAACGCAACTCGTAGCTGAAATTGTGAGACCAGTGTGGCACATCTGCTAAATAATAATAACGTTACAAATACTTGATTTTTTTTGTAAATACATACATAATATTCATAGAAAACACTCATACAGGATACCTACAATAGTAACTATTGTAGGATAGTTATTACTGTCCTAAATATGAATCTTATTACCGTGCGAAGAATTAAACTCGCGACCATCTGAACAAAAGCGGTTTGCTAAACCGCTAGATCGCCAACACCATCGACATATTTTATTTTAATTTATTCATGCATCCAACGTCATCTGTCTTCTTCAGTTCCTATAGATGTGTATTTAATTGGTTTAATCAAAATAGAGTATTCAAAATGTAATAACTCCGCTCATTGTAGGATGCTGTTGACGATAGGTGACACTGGCGAAGCACTACTGAAAGACTAGTAAGATTCAGTTAATCCATCATGGCAAAATCACAAGGAATTAACGATAGTTTACAGGGGGAACCGAAATGTAGTTAAAAAATGCACCTTGCATTAATATCTATGAGGTACTGTACCAATACCAATACTACCTTCCTCCCAGACGAGGTATTTCCGTTTTTCATTACAAAATAGTAAATAAAGAACTGATATAAATATTTTTGTTATGAATTTTAAATAAAATCGTCAGCATTCAAAACTATTTTTTACGAATATCGTAATTATTAATTGTTGTTTTATTTTATTATTGTATTTATTGTACTAATTTAAATGTAAGGGTCATAACAGAATAGCAGAGAGGGTGGGCTCACTGTCCCCTACATCGTAAACCGTTTTGTCTTGATTGGACAGACAATCAAGACCCACACATCAAGGCCACACCGTGATATGACTAAAATATTTGTCTATTTAATTTTATTAATTGACATATATATGTGACTATTTGTGTGTATGAACAATGATAACAATTGTAAATAATAATGAATTAACACATATGTTATCTACATCTTTATTCAGCGATTACTCTGGAATTATTACCGTTATAGAATCAATAACAATGCATGTAAAAATACATATTATAATAGCAATAAAGAAAATAATAAGCAAGAAAAAGAAAACCAAATACATATATAGAAGAATTTTTTTTAAATATACTAATGATTTTCTGATGTAGGCTATGACATATTCAACAAACTGAAATATATAATATACTAGCTGTCCCAGCAAACGTTGTTTTTCCATATATATTAATAATGCTATAACAAAGGGGTTTGTGATAGAAGGGTGAAAATTTAGAGTTGTATATATTTTTTAATGCCACACAATAAAAAAATAAAAATAAGATATATTGCAGAAAAAATGAAACAAATATTTTTCCTGCGAGCATTTAACACTTAGGTGTACAAAAATTTTAAAGGTTATAAACCTATTCTCAGACCATAATGAATTTCTTCAAAATCGGTCAAACCATTTCGGAGGGGAAAGATACACGAAACCTGTGACACGAGAATTTTATACATTAGATATCTAATCAAAAGAATAAATAAAACCTTTTGGTTTTTTTTCCAGTTCACAGGTTTATGTGTCCAGTTATTCATTTTGGATATAATAAATGGAGGACAGGTAGCTTGTCTCTATAATCCTGTCGACCTATTCATCCTGTAAACAATCTTTCAGGTGGATTTAAACAGAGTATCCTGTAGAAATCGCCACAGACACGTTCCTCAGCCTAGAAACTATTTCAAGAACATTGTTTATATGGTTGGACAAGATTGATATAAAAACAAATACGGAAAGATATTTGACGACTCCTTTTTCTATTGAAAATATTTAAGTCTAGACAGCGCATAAAAACATATATGGCGATCGAACATAGAACCTTATATAGACAAATTTATTAAAAAAGTAATTTAATCAATGTTTTGAATATGTATAAATTAATATTCGTTACATCTTCGAAAATCAAATACTTAATAACAAAAAGGGGCGCGTTAGTGAATCTACTAAAAGATTAAACATCAACGCTATAGGTAGAGAGGTAGGTATTATAAAGATAAAATAGAAAGCATTATATTATAAAGCAAGTGAAGAGTGTCATAAAAATGTCTATCTTTTGTAAAATGATGTCAATATCATCATATTATATGATATTATTTTACTAACCGTATCTACAGCATACTGGACATAGAGAAAAGTCAGTCTGATTCTGAACATTGGTGCGTCAACACGAATACGCCCGATTATACGACAGTCACGCGCGTAAACACGGGAAAGTTTTAAATTTTCAAAATTCGAACATATTCTCTATTTAATAATATTAACTTTTCATTTATTTTAATTTATTATTTATCGTGAAAACATTTTATTTGTGCCGAACTCTTTTCATAAATTTAATACTGACTGAAAAGTTTCGAGGATTATTTTAATATCAAATATTTTTGGTAAGACGATTTTTTTTTTAAATACAATACATTGCATGCGCCACTAGGGACATAGATTGATCAAATATTTTTATGTAAATCTGTACAACTAATATTCTTAGCACTGCACGTTTGCAAGCAAATGTTTGCGTAGATTAATTCTGAAGGTTTTGTCCTTAAGTTTAAGCCTTACTTAATTAATAAAACAATTTTATATAAAATTATGATACTTTCCTATTTTTAGAACCTTTATGGTAACATTATAAAATTAATGCAATAACGGTTTATTTATTATAAGGGCGGTGTGAACTCTTACAGTATAAATAAGTATCTGTGTAGAATTAGCGTTAATTGGTCTGTAATTAATAGCATATAAACATAATTTATTATTAGCTGAGGATATGAATGGATAGAAATGGAACATGGTATTGCATACATGCATATTAATTATTTATGTGAGCACGAATAATTTTACATTAATTTCTAGTAATGTATGATTATATGGTTGTATTCTACAAAAGTATATGTGTAATATGTTTGTGTTTCATAATATGTCACCTTTATTCACTTGCTGTAAATAAATTTCAATTTCGTTTGTAAAAAACTTTATAAAAACAAGTATAATACAGTGAAAATTTATAATAATCTATATAAATATAAATTAATCATAATTAAAACCAAATCAAAAACATAATAATTATTCCAATTTTAAATGAAACTGCTAGATCCATATTAAAAAGTGAATTGTTATATTTATTGATGGTTTATTAATGTAAATAATAACAATATTAAAATATATATATATATATATTTATACTAATGTTATAAACTAATATTTAGTGAACTATAAATAGATTTTAGTAAGGTACAAGAGTATCTCCACATAGTATTTGTAGTGTTATTATAATATATATATCTATGTTTATATAGTCTATAGGTAATTACTAGGTATATTCATCAGATGAACCGTCAGCTTGTTTAATATTCTCCGAAGCACAAAGCACAAAGAAGCTAGTCTAACAGGAACAAATTAAATGAGATTGCAAACATCTAAAATTAATAACTAGACTATTTCAATAAAAGGAGCGATATTTGAAAGGTTGAAATTTTGTTTTATGTCAAACATAGCATCGCATAGCTAAATGTTAAAGCATTTATTCTCCGTACCCACTCTCTAGAGAATTCTAGAGTTGGCGATATATTTTAAAAGAAATGGGAATTTTGTTTCCTTAAATTCGGAATTTGATACGAACTTCTTTATTGTATAGTTATTGTAACTAAAATTTGTAAACAAAGTTCTCTATCTATATTCAATTTACCAAGCCAAAAATCCTACAAGAAGTAGTAGAATAGTCATAAAAATGAAACAATTTTCGGCAAAAAGCAAAAGTAAATAATATTTTTTGCTCAAAAATACAAATAGTATATAATATCATGTGGCTACGTGATTTATACTCAATGAATAGTATTGTATAATAGTTTTAAACATTATTTTAGATTTTCCATTTATCTTTATTGAATCAGTAATTCAATTTCATGCATATTAGACTCTTTAAGACTATAGAATCTTAGTCTTAAAGAGTACAAAACAATATAACGTTAATTATATGTTATACAATATATATTATATAACTATATATTATTATTATTAAAATTATACATCATTACTGTCCAACCCTAATGAAGTTAGATGACTATTAAATAAAACCAAGAGATTTGGAAGCCAACCCTCACTAAACAACTAGGATTATTACTTTGACCTACTCCTACGTAACTGTAATATCATGAGCTAATTCTATATACATTAAATTATACGTTATAAGAGCGGCACAGTGATTTACTACTGCGATTTATTGACAAATCTAAAGGTTTGTGGTAGTTATTGATAATTTATATATTGTAAATGCAAACGTACTATCTCGGGAAATACTAGTTCGAATTGAATATCATCATTACATAGTCTATACATATAAATAAAATTGGAGTGCCTGATTGTAATATTGAAATAACCGTTTTTTACGACATGCATATTAATATAAATACGGTACGGTACATACACCAAAACAACATTTTTTACAATTTTTGTCTGTCTGTCGGTCTGTTTGTTCCGGCTAATCTTTGAAATGGCTGGATTAAGTTAAAAACCACGCGGACGAAGACGCGGGTACAGCTAGTATAAAATAAAGTCGCTATCTATCGTATCTATTCGTTGTCTATCCCTATGTATGCTTAAATCTTTATAACTATGCAACGGATTTTGAATCTGTTTTTTAATAGATAGAGTGATTCGAGAGGAATTTTTATATGTATACATGTACACCCGGGTGTAGCTGGACCGAATAGTTAGTTTATATATAATACATTAATAATGTAATTAAGGGACAATATGAGCATAGGTACTTATCCCTAGAAGAAATCTCTTCCTGTCAACACAAAACAGTGGTATAGGTGGTAATAATTGATGCAAAAAAAACGATAATTTTAATGTTGCATAAACCATTAAGGCTATAGGCTATATAATATGAATATATGGCTTAACACATACATACTATATAATATATGTATAATATGAATACATACGATAACACAGCACATCCTGACTGCTGAAAAAAATTATCACAGTGTTGTGTATTATTCGAAAACTAAGGACAATTTATATACTACACGCACACCACATGTGTCTATTAAATTTCTATAAAGGAAATAAAGACATTTGTCTAAAATAATCCTCCAAAAAATAGAATCTCTTTGAAAAAATAACTGACGTCTTATATATTATTTGAACGTAAACTCAAAAATTGGCTGTTATTTAATAACTTTTACAGTGCTCAAGAATATTTAAAAAAATAATACTTTCTTGTAATTTGCATGACTGTTAAGATAATTACTTTTTAATATTTTTTTAAATAATTTCATTACAACCATTGGGAGCCAGTAATGAATAATGTAAAAACAGGGAAAATATAAAGAATAAAAAGTTACGCGGATCAACTAGTCATACATATTAGTTTAAGATATTTCTATGTCTAGTATTCTCTCTAATTATTATAGTTTCTATTCACACAGTGCCATCTAGATCCAAGTTAAGCTAGCTAAAGCTTGTATTATGGCTACTAGATAATTGATACATATACATTCATATTTCATAAATATATACATATTATACATAGAAAACACGCAGACCTATACAAACAATCATACTCCTGAATACATATGTTTGTGCCGTACGTGGAATCGAACCCATGACCATCAGAAATAAGGCGGTGTGCTAAACCACTAGGCCACCGAGGGCGTCAATGTGGTATAGTTCGGTAGAAAACTAAAATATTACTTCTAGAAGCGGATCACTGAATCGAATAGGTACAACCAATTACACCGCCTATCGACAACCCAATTAGAAGTCATGAAATCAATGTCAACATCAATGGGCTACAAATACAGGCCCGCCGCGCCGTCGCCCAACTGCGCGGCAACATAATGGATCCGCAAATAGTATCATGGCAAACGTCGATACGTATGTATGATTTATATACGACATACAATTTGCATAAAAACACACCCGCGAAATGATTTAGCGAAGTGGTTTTTGAATGACTTCCATTTTCAACACCATATAGTTAGTGGTATATTTATTTATTAAAAATAGAAGTCAATCTAAAACCCTATCAATAATATCATAAAATAGATTTCTCTTCTTTATTTTTAAATGGAATGGTAAGCAAGATCATAGCCCAAATAGTGGTAAATCGCAATCATCCGTATTGCCTATACACATTGAGAATGCTACGGATATTAAGTGTTCATGTGACGACTGTGCTCCCCTCATGCGTTGTCAGTCTGGAAGATTAACATATTATTTATCGTATCCTATAATTTAATTACCTAAGTTACCATCATTAATTACGTTAATTTATACACTATCAAAGTGGAAGCGAGAGGTATACCAGCGAAATCCCTCTACAATATTTTTGAAGATCTTAGCTGGCTTAGAACAGCAATAAGATATGTCTGATGAATTTTCTAGTATATATACTAGAACATTCATCAGACATATCCTACAAACTTGGCTGGACAGGGAGAGAAGTCATCGTCAAGGGGCCGTTAACCTACACCCAGGTCTCATGTCCCAGGAACTGATTAGAGTTTCCCCCTCTGTGACATGATAGACTCTATACCGCAAGGTGTCTCCATAGAATTCCAAGAAGTTCTTCTCTCTCTCTCTCACCGTCCAATCGTAACACGCTGCTTTTCAGCTACCTTCAATATACAAAACAGATAATATTCTTACAGGGATGCAAATGAGCTACATTTTGTTATAACTAAATACTCGCTGATAAAGTTACAATGTAAATTGATACATTACTTAATTTTACGTCCTGTTTACGACTTCGCATGTAAGTTTATGTTCGTTGAATGAATATTGTGTTTGATGTGAATTTATAATTAAGAAACAAAGTGAAGCGAATCCATAATATTCGAACTTGCTCAATACTAAAGTATATTACATAGAAACCCTTTTTCTCTTATATATATGTATATAAGAGAAAAAGGAAAGAAAAATAGAAATTTATATTAAAAATTAAAAGACTATAGTCTTTTCTAGTCATTTTTATAAATTTCTAGACAGTTGAAAATCCTTCTAATTACTTATATTGTAGGAATGAAAGTAAAACTATATTTCTTTATTTTTATAAAAACTTATTAGCTGAAAATTATTTGTTAATAAACTGTTTCCATTATTTTCTTTAGTAGGTATCTATAACAAAACCTTTACAAAGTTTGGGACTAAATGACGCTATAAATTTATTTATGGAACACAGATTTCTGAACCTGCATTGTTCTAAAATGGTTTCATTAATAGTATCAAGATGTTTCTCCTTTATCTTTTCAGTAACATATTCTCCATCATTGTTTATCAGTTGCCCTTCATACCTATATATGAGAATCTCAGATAGCTATACTTATCAACTCAAGATATAGTACTAATCATAATTCATATCAATTCTCGATGCAACATGTTA